GGGGGGGGAGGTCCAGGCGCCCGAGGGGACACGGGGGGGGGAGGTCCAGGCGCCCGAGGGGACACGGGGGGGGGGTCGGCGGGGAGACAGCACGCGGGAGGCCGTGCGGGGAGGTGCGGCAGGGAGGGGCGGGCAAGGGGGCTGCGGGAAGGAGGCACGGGGCGGAGGGAGGAAGGGAGGGGCGGCGAGCAGCGCGGGGGGACCCCGGGGCGGCCGGCGGGCGGTTACCGGTGCGCGTAGTGCGCGAGGAACATGGCCAGCAGGACGCGGTTGGGCGCGTGGCGGAGGCGCTCGGCGGCCGTGCGCGCGCACACCCCGAGCGGCACGGCCAGCGCCGGCAGCTCCTGCAGCGCCCAGGCGGCGCGCGCGGGCAGCCCGCAGGCGGGGCGCGGAGGCGCGTGGCGCCCGTAGGGCGAGCGCACCCGCGTCTGCAGCACCCAGCCCAGCACGCCCAGCGCGCACTCCAGGTAGGCCAGCGCGTCCAGGTGGGAGCCCTCGGCCGCCTCCATCGCGGGGAACGGCGGGCGCGCCCCATGACCCGGAGTCCGCGCCGGGCCACTTATTATAGGGCGGCGGCGAGGGGGCGGGAGGCGCGTTTACCTGAGGCCGACGTCGGCCGCGGGCGCCGGGCGGCGGGCGCCGAGCCCCACCTCCGCGGCCCCGCCGCCGCCCGGAGGCCCGGCAGGCCCCGCCCCCGCGGCCGGAGCCCCGCCCCTCGCCGCTCTGCGCACGCGCGGCCGCGGGCTGTCCGCGGCGCTGCCGGAGCCCGGGGCCGGCGCCGCGGGGGCTGCCGTTCAGAAGCGCCTTCCCGTCCCCGCGGCTCGCTGCTCCCCGGGCGCGCCGGTCGCGGCGCTTTGCGCTGCTGCCCCGCAGGCCCCCGCGGCCCCGGGGCCGGCGCAGGCGCAGAGCCGGGGTCCTCGCGCGCCGGCCCGGAAGTCCGCGCGGCCGGCGGTGGCGGGGCGCTGTGTGCGGGCGGCGTGCGCGGCCGCGTGGGCCATGGGGCGGCGGGCGCGGGGCCGGCGGCTCCAGCAGCAGCAGCGGCCGCAGGGCGCGGAGGACGGCGCCGAGGGCGGCGGGAGGCGCCGCGAGGCGGTAGGAGTCGGGGCGAGGGCGGGCCGCGTCCCCCTCCGCCGCCCGGCCCCCGAGGCCTGCGGGACGGCGCGGGGCGGCTCCTCCGGCCCCGAGTAGACCCCCTCTTTCGTTCCTCAGGGCTGGGAAGGCGGGTACCCCGAGATCGTCAAGGAGAACAAGCTCTTCGAGCACTACTACCAGGAGCTCAAGATCGTGCCCGAGGGCGAGTGGGACCAGTTCATGGAAGCGCTCAGGGAGCCCCTCCCCGCCACCTTGCGAATTACTGGCTACAAGAGGTAAGGGGGCCGCGCCGAGCCTTCCCGTGCCGGGGGGCTGGGGCTGCTTAGACACGCGGGTGCCCCCGTCAGCCCGGCAGGTGCAGTCGGCGCTGTGGACCCGAGGGCCTGGGGGCTTGGCATGGAGGAGGGGGCGGGGAGCTGCCGCCAGCCTGTCCGCTAGCCTCAGACGTCAAAGTGCAATCCGAGGGGGACCCGTGAGCTGAGGACGCCCCCCCACCCCCCATTGGAACACGTGAACGTTGGTGGCCTTCCCGAGTTTCGCGTGGAACTCCGGGTCTCTGCTTTTCCAGGCTTCCTAGTTCCCATCTTTCCGGGAGGAGTTGCGAGTAAATAGGAACCGTGGGAATATTTAGGAGGGAAGGGATGCAGATAGTCGTCCGTGTAGCTTATCACCTGTTAGCCATGGAGCCCTGCGGATTGTTTAAACTCTGAAGGAAGAGGGTGATGTGAGCAGGATGTTCAGGGGGGCAAAGATGGTTTTTGCTTTAAGGCACTCGTCATCTTAGATTCATTCATAGGAGCCTTTCCGATGGGTTTGAAACTTGTTGTTTCCAACAGCCACGCAAAAGAGATTCTCCATTGCTTAAAGAACAAGTATTTCAAGGAATTGGAGGACCTGGAGGTGGACGGTCAGAAAGTGGAAATGCCCCAGCCCCTGAGTTGGTAGGTAAAACCAGCCCTCACTCATTCTGTTGTATGTGTTTCTTTGGGATCTTAATCTCTGTCGTTTGACAGCGTGTTTTCTGGACAACATGTTTGTTATGGGCCCGTGAGAATCTGAATGTACTTTACAGACACCTTCGTGTTCTTTTTACCCGGTACTTTTTATCCGTGTTACTTTACACTGGTGTATAGCTTTTCACCCATGATTTGCAGCTCTCTCTCAGTCATTCGGTTTGGTTAATTTTTCCAAGGGCGCCAGCCTCTGTCCTTCCGTGATGTTAGCGTTCCTGCCCGTTTCCACCTGAACCCCTTGCTTCCTCACGTCAGAACGCTGCCGCGCGGCCCTTCCCCCTTCAGCAGGATACACTCCGCCTGACCGTGGTCGCCACCGGCCAGTCCAGCTGATTGTGGATTTCCACTGTGTCCAGCGCTGGACGGGACTCGCGCCCTCCGTGCCAGCCGTTTCTCCCTTTCTTTACTTGTCCTGGAGGTATCCTGCGGGTTATTTGCTCTTCAGGGCCCAGGTCAGGTCTCAGTGAGATGAAGACATTCCCACAGGTCTCGGAAGGTGCCTGGAGTACTCGGGCAGGGGCTCCAGAGGCACCAAGCTGGGGTTACTCTGTGAACATAAAAGTCACTGAGTTGTGACGGTTCCACATTTCGGATTATCAACTTTGACATGTTGCGAGTTCTCACAAAACGATAATTTTAAACGATTGGTATAAAAAGCTGCATTCTTTCTCCCGTGGTCATTCGGATTTTCCAGTGGCCGTGTCACAGATGTGTGCCGCGTACACCCTTGGACTGAACGCGGAAGGGCCAGATGCCAAAGTCCGTACTCGGCCTAGCTCAAAAGCAGGTATCACCATTGTAAAACACATTTCTGGGATACCAAAATAAATCCATGGTTTTAAGCCAAAAAAAGTATAATGAGGGCTTTTTTAGAAAGATTTTAAAAGCTCAAACGTTCTAGTGCAGGAAATGACTCGGGTGCTCACTAGCTGCATGGCCTCCTGTACTGAGGTCATTGGAAAAGGAATGTTCCAGCTGTCTACTTAGGACATTGCTGGGTCACCAACCTCTTCTGTTCTCTCGGGAACCAGGTTCTAGACTGAACTTCCCTCCAATGCCTTGGTTTGGAGATTGGACCGATGTTACTGGTGTGTTTGAAGCAGGGACCATCTGGTATTTTCAGAAAAAGTGGGTTCAAGGTTGTCCTTGTGTATGTTCCTAATAGTTCTGCCCATGTTGGCTGCTTCACATAATCCCCTGAAGACATTTCTTCCTTCTACCTTGTGTTTAGAAATGAAGTTTTTCGGATGAGCAGGTCTGAATGGCCGGTGGGAGGAGCGTGCATCGCGTGAGGGAAGAAGGGCTTCGGGCCCGTCATTGTAGGACTTGTCTTCTTCAGGTTCCCAAAGATCTGAGAATTGGTCTTGCTGTTTTTATCGTTCTCTGGAGGCTACCGTTCAAGTTTGGTTTGATTGGCCCTCTTAACATCTGACAAGTGCTTTTTCATCTTGATTGTTGAACGGCGATGGGTACAGGAAAAGGCAGTTCTCCGACATCGGAGAAAGGCCCTGTGGGTTGTCTGGTTGAAGGATGACTTGGAGTCGCCCTAATGCCCACCAGTTACCCTTTTCACGTTGCTGTGGGCTTCAGTCTTCTGAGCGCACAGCTGAGGGGTGTGAGCGATGTACTGCACTCCTTGGGTCCCTAATGGTCAGCTTTTCCATGATTGGTGGCAGTTACGTGACCAGTTCTGTACACACATTCTGTCACATTCACTTGTCAGGGGTAGGTGGCCCATTAGTCTCTCAGCAGGCAAGCAAGGCAGACGCTGCCCAAGCCCTGGGGTGTTTCCTGTCTGGTTCAAAAAACAGAAGTAAGTTGTAGAACATTCTTAGCATAAGTTAGGAAAATGTCAACAATAGCCAAAATGTGGAAGGAGCCTAAGTGTCCATCAACGGACGAATGGATCAAGAAGATGTGGTTTATCTATACGATGGAATACTACATGGCAATGAGAAAGAATGAAATCTGGCCTGTGTAGCAACATGGATGGACCTTGAGGGTGTTATGCTGAGCGAAATAAGTCAGGCAAAGAAGGACAAATATCATATGTTTGCACGTATAGATGGATTAGGAGGAACTTAATGGGGGACCGTGGAGGAGAAGAAGGGGGGAAATAGTGGGGGAAAGGGAGAGAGGGAAAGCATGAGAGACTCTTGAATGGTGAGAACAAACTGAGGACTGATGGGTGTGGGGGGAAGGGGGTGATGGGCATGGAGGAGGGCACTTGTGGGGATGAGCACTGTGTGTTATATGAAAACCAACTTGACAATAAACTATTTAAAAAAAAAAGTTAGGAAAATGTTTTTGGGAACCACGATATTTTAAATGATTTTTTTTTTTAAATTTATTTTGAGGGGCGCCTGGGTGGCTTAGTCGGTTAAGCGTCCGACTTTCGCTTAGGTCATGATCTCGCGGTTCATGGGTTCAGGCCCCGCGTCGGGCTCTGTGCTGACTGCCAGCTCAGAGCCTGGAGCCTGTTTCAGAGTCTGTCACTCCCTCTCTCTCTGACCCTCCCCTGCTCACGCTGTCTCTCTCTCTCTCCTAGAAATAAATTAAAAAAAATAAAATAAATAAAATTTATTTTGAGAGAGAGGGAGAGAGAATCCCAAGCAGGCTCCACACCATCAGTACAGAGCCCGGCGTGGGGTTCGAACTTGCAAACTGTGAGATCATGACCTGAGCTGAAACCAAGAGTCGGGACAGGATGCTCAACCAACTCAGCCACCACCCAGGGGCCCCAAGGGAGCCATGTTTTCCTGAAGGAACATTGAGTACAGGACTCATAGCTCGGGCTGATTTCTTTTTCCCTCTTTGTAGACTCAGAACTGAATCATCCCAAAGCATACTCATAAAAGCCTCATTTTGACGACCAGCTGTTGAGGATGCACCTTATTGACATTCTGTTTATGTCCTTCTCAATGTCTGGATTGAAGATGACTTCTCATAAATGTTATTTTTGCAGAGACGCTTTTTTCCCTGTAAGAATTTACGAGGCATCAAGATGACAGTGGTGCTCTTACTTCACCCTCTGAAGACAGGACATGTCTCAAATAGGAGTTTAAAGACTTAGGAGTTACATTCGAATCACATTAACTCTCTGCCCCTCCCCCGCTTGCCCTCTGTCTGTCTCTCTCAAAAATAACGTTAAAAAAAGAGATTTATGCTAATCAGCAGTGTCATCGTAGAAAGTTTAAACACGATTACAGAGATGGCAGAGGTTTCCTCATTCTCAGGTCTGTGTAAGTGATGGCCTTGCAGGGCCAGTCAGCACAGTGGTGGTGGTGCCAAGGTTTTCTGGTGTGTAAAACAGTTGAGCATGTTACTGGGCTGTTTTGTTTTAGACGTGGTGAAAGATATGGTAAGAAAGGTTCACGTACATGTCCATCAGACCTTCTCATAGCTCCTCAGTGGCGTTATTTTGATGGTGGGATGTGCATTTCTTCCATTTGTTATTTTACGTCTTTTTCCCGATGA